GTGCGCCTGCGCTGCAGACGTCAGAGCATCAGTCCTTTCCCACTGATCACAGGTGCGACTCCGTGCCCTCCAGGCAGCCGCTGCCTGTCTCTTGGTGCCTGCCCACGTGGGAGCCACTAGCCTTATGTGACTATTTAAATTAGTTAAGATGTAATGAAAAGTCAGTTCCTCCATGGTGTTAACCGCATCTCATGTGCTCAGTAGCTGCATGTGGCTACACATTGGACAGCATAGATTCTAGAACATTCCCGTGATTGGGGAAAGATCTGTTAGTCGCGTTCTAGATGGGGAACGGCTTGTTCCTTGGGCCATGGCTCCTGGCTGACAGCTCATTAACTCATCAAACCTCTGAGGAGCACGTGCTCTGTGCCAAGGACTCTTGGGAGGGACCCTGATACCACACATGTGGCCTTCTATGGGTCCACAGGGCTGTCCCCTGAGATTGCAGTCACCTTGGCCCCATCTCTGGAGGTGGCACAGGCAGGAGTCCCCGCAGCAGTCCAGGCAGGTGACCAGAAGTCTCGCAGAGTTGGCGTCGCCTCTCCAGCAGCGTGAGAGTGCTGGGCTGGCCCTGGGCCGGGGTGATTTCTGCAGTGTCCCCAATGGCACAGCCTGGTGGTGGCTGTTCCCTCTGGGTGCCCACCGACCTGGGAGACACTGGGGGCCTTGGCCTGCAGCCTGGCCTCCCTGCGGAAGGCTCTGTTTAAAGAGTGCTGGTCTTTGAGTGATGCCGCGTGTCCCTCCTGCGAACTCCCGCCGGCTTTGGCTGAGGACAGCAAAGCACTCCTGCCCGCCCCAAGGCCTGTCACTCTGCGGGTGACTTGGCTGCCCTGCCTACCCGAGCTCTTGGGAGCACTGTTAGCCTTTGACCTTCCTAGCATTTAGCTCGAGGACTTGTGCAGATGACCAGCGACTGTCCTTTGAATCCCTTAGCCTGCGTGGCGCCAGCGCGTCCCCGACAGACGGCCACCCCAGGGTTCCCAGGTTTCGCGTGTTGCGGCTGCCGGGGCTCTGGTCTCACGGGGCTGGCAGGCCAGCCCTTCCTCCTCTTCACAGCCCTCTTCCTGCTGCCTCCTCCGCTCAGATGGGCCGGCCGGGGTGGGCATCCGGTGAGGTGGGGTCCAGTGACCTTATGGCTTCCAAGTGGCCAGGAAGCTCCCAGAATCTGGATATATCAGGAGCAGAAGAGACATGTTTATGGTCAGCTGTGAGTCTCCTCTTGGCCTGTGAGGGGTTGTAGCGACATAGATTTGTGTGTGTGCATGTACACACAATACACAGGCAGGACACACATCCTCAGACAGGCAGACCTCACACGGACACGCGCACACACTGCCACCTGGGCACTGCTGGCGGCTCTGCCCATCCCTCAGCCCCTCTTACAAGGATGCTGTGGAAACTTGGCTTCTGTTCAGCCAAGCTCCTTTTCCCGCATCCTTGTGGCCCCCTGGCTGTAACTGCCTCCTGAATGCCACCTCAGCATGTCGGCTCTGACGGCTCGCGCCCCTGGGGGCAGCGTGGGCCCCCTGCCTCGGGCCCAGTCCTGAGCCTGGTGAGAGTCATGGCTGAGGAGGGGGCTTGGCTGCTCCCTTCCAGGGCCCGGCTGCGGCCGCGCTGACAGACCACCCTGGCCCGGGCCTCGGGGCGCACGGGAGGCCTGAGCAGATAGCTGTGCACATGTGAGGAGCCCCCAGCCCAGGAGGCCAGGAGGTCGAGCACCCGCCCTGGGCTCAGTGGTGCTCTCCACCAGTGATCAGGGCCCCCCGCTCCCCGTCCCCACCTCCACCCAGTCTCCCACCCCACCCCAGATCTGTTCACCACGCAGGCAGGCTGCGGGGCTTCTCTCCAGGGTCTGGCAGTATATTCTCAACCCAGAGAGCCCACTGGAGACTTTCAGGCTTGTTTTTCCTCTTTTAGTCCTTGCTTGGTTCCTTTCCCAGAGAGGGTCAGGGCTGTGACCTCGGTGCTCTGTGTGGGGGACAGCCATCAAAGCCCATGGCACGGGGTGGGGCTGGGGAAGCGGGGTGCCTGCCCCTTCCTCTCGGTGGGGCCCCTGCGCGCGCGCCTTGCAGAGTTGGGCCAGATGCGTGCTCTGGAGCAGCCTGCCACCCTGTGGTGACTCCTTCTCTGCCACCCTGTGGCGACCCCCTCCCGTGGCCTTCTCACCGGTGTCAGGATCCAAGGCCACGGCCTGGCCTGTCGGGGCAGCACAGCCTTTGTCTGAGCTGTGCTGACTCAGAAAATGCCCCCCCCCCCCCCACCAATCAACAGCCTGTTCCCCAGCAGCCTTCTCTGGCGGGGCCTCCAGGGCAAGGCTCACGCCTGTTCCGTGCAACTGCTGCCCTTGGCCTTGAAGACTTTCCTGCGATGCTTCAGCACAGGCTCTTCCGCGGGCCGATTCCCAGCCCCTCAGCCGACCTCAGTGGCCCGGCCTCGGGCTGCACCGTGTGGCCAGAGCCTGACGAAGGCCTAGGCAATCCTTCTCCTTGGCGGGAGCGGCCAGCAGGTCTACCACCTCCTTGTTCAAGACCCTTAACATCCGTCACAGACCAAGGGGCTTGCTTGCTGAGGTGCCACTTTATGCTGTGAATTTGTGTAAAATCTACTAGCATCTTAAATGGCTATTAGGCTGTTTTATTCCCAGTCTTGATACACTATGCCTCTCCCAGTCTGTTCTCGTGTAGTTGATTTTCGGGACTCAAGCAGAGATTATTACGTTTACTCCTCTGAATTCCATCCTGTCTCCGAGGCTCAGGTCAGTGAAGGTCAAGGTTGCATAATCTTCCATCCAAAGGAAGCGTCACAATGTAATTAACCATTTGCTGGGCCCTTGGGCCACTTGCAGTTTTTTCCACACACGCAAGTGATGCTGCCATGAAACTCCTCTTCCACATGTATCTTTTTATTTCTTTTGGATTATTTTTGTTGGATAAATTCCCAGAAGAGTCATTAATGGGCCAGAGGCTTGGAACATTCTCAGGACTCCCAGAACATATAGCGGCTGCTATTTTGGGACAAGCAGGCTCTGCCTCAGTGCCACAGGGACCAGGGCACATCACCCAGCACTGGGCTCCTCAGGAGCTCTGGCTCCCCTGGCAGCTCCACTCCCTGGCCCTGCAACCCCTGCGGGACCCACCGGACAAGTGCGCCGGGATCCCGGCCTCCGTCTTCCTCCAAGGACACGTATGTAAGCCCGTGTCCTGGGCTTCAGCGCTGCTCTGATGTCGTGGCTGCCACCTTTGTCCTGCCTTAGCGTACAGTCTCCAGGCCTGGGGCCTGCTGGGAGGAGGCTGCGTGGGCCGCCCTGAGAGGCCCTGGCCTGTTTTCCGGGAAATCAGGACTGTGGCCAGGGCACGGAACGCCTCATAGGACTTGACCGGGGTTCCTGCCCCAGCCACCGTGCTCACTGCTGCCACGCCGCCCTTTCCCCTGGGGACCCCAGCAGCCCTGCCCCGAGGCCGCCCGTGAGGGCTGGCAGGGCCCGGCCTCCGGCTTTGAAGATCCATCCTCCCGCGGGTTCATCCTCCTCCCAAGCTAAGAGCTTTGTGCTCCGCGCCCGCTTTGGTTGGACCCTGGGAGAGGTCCTCAGACCCCTGTCAGACTCCCCTCGCCACACAGGGCGGGGGTCCCCTAGTTCCCTGCATGCCCTCTGCCCACCTGCAGGGTCCTGGGAGACCTGGCTGCCACTTCCTGGGCTCAGGTGGAACCAAGGTAGGACACACTCATTCCTGACCTGTAATGATGCCATTCGAGAGGTTTCTAATAGTGGACGTTGCTGTGGAAATGGCAGAATGGTAGTGTTCGGTTGGCCAAAAAGTTCGTTTGGATTTTCTGTAAGATGGCCCTAGTAGTGCTTAGTCGTCTTTAACTTCATTTGAAACAATTTTGTTAGATTGTATCATGACAGCTGTTATATCAGCATGCATTAAAAAACTTACCAAATTGGTGAATTTTTGTGTAGCCATTTTAATATTGAAGATGGAAGAAAATGTGCAACATTTTCAGTGTATTATGCTTTAGTATTTCAAGGAAGGTAAAAATGCAACTGAAACACAAAAAAGGATTTGTGCAATGTACGGAGAAGGCGCTGTGACTGATCAAACATGTCAGAAGTGGCTTGTGAAGTTTTGTGCTGGAGATTTCTCATTGGCTGATGCTCCATGGTCAGGAAGACCAGTTGAAGTTCATAGCGATCACATCGAGACATTAACTGAGAACAATCAATGTTCAACCACCTGGGAGAGAGCCGACATACTTAGAATGTCCAAATCAATAAAGTTATTGGTGAACATGAAAAGTGTGTCTTTTATTTTATGGACAAAACCACCTGGACTCTTGGGCCAGCCCGGCGATCACCAGTGTGCATGCCTCCTTATCACCCCGTGACTCCCGGCAAGAGAGGGGACTGACTTTCTCCAGGACAGCAGAGGTGGGAGGCGGGAAGCCCTCTGTGGTGCAGTGGTGAGCAGGTGGGGGCTGTGTTCTGCACATCATCCTGGGGGCTTGGGGAGGGGCTGCCCTCTGGCCAGTGGGGGGCCGAGGGCCTGGGTCCAACACCAGATCCTTGGGGACCTGTTGGCTGCCCACCCAGAGGAAAGGAGTAGGGCCTCCACACCTGGGCTTTCTTGCCCCGGGCCCTGCCCTCGGGGCGAGCGGGGCAGGTCCACACAGGACCTGTCGTGCGTACTGTGGCCTGGAGGACGCCCGGAGGCACAGAACCAAGATCCCCGGCTCCTGGCTCCCGTCTGCATTCGTGAAGGCGCTTGTGGCACAGCCTGGAGCCTGCTCAGTGCAGGGAGCTGCCTTCCCGGGCGCCGGCTGCTGCCCAGGTCAGGGCCTGCGCGCTGCAGCCTCTGTGAGCGGGGCAGCTGCCCTGGGCTGACGCCTGCTGCCAGGATCAGCGTGTTTTCCCCCGGGAGTATCTGAATCTGCCCCTGGAAGACCACAGGTCCGTTCCTGCGTTGCCCGCTAACCCTGTCCTCCACCTCTGCCTGCCGCAGGAGAACCTTATGCTTTCCATCCTGCCCAAGCACGTGGCTGACGAGATGCTGAAGGACATGAAGAAGGATGAGAGCCAGAAGGACCAGCAGCAGTTCAACACCATGTACATGTACCGCCACGAGAATGTCAGGTGCGCCGGGCTTGGGCCCCGGGCAGGACCGCATGGGGCTCTGGGGGGTCAGCCTAGCATTGAAGATTTGAGGGTCTTCCCCTGGAACTAGGAGCAAGGCTGTCCCCACAGTGTGAGCCCCATTGCAGAGCGGCCTTGCTGATGGGCTTCGGGGAAGGGATGTGCGGTCTAGCCCCATCACTGCACCAGCGTCACCCAGAGCTGGGAAGTGACATCTACGAGGTCGTGCAGATGTTCGGGGCCAGCACTAGGGCTCAGAGCCATGCTCCTGCCAGGAGCATGCCTTCCTCCTGGGGCAGGAGTGAGGCAGCGCAGGGGAGGGGGCCCCGTAGAGGGGAGTCAGCAAGGATAAGCTAAATGCCAGAGCCCCAAGTCCACCCTCAAAGTGCCAGGGCCTGGCTGCCCTGGGACTTGAGCAAGAATTGCTTCCTCCATGCTCTTGGCTGCCGAGGGCTGGGAGCAGGGCCCACGGTGCCGTCGGGTGTGGCCCGAGTTCACCACGGCCACCCCGCCCCCGCCGCCCCCCGCAGCATCCTCTTCGCGGACATCGTGGGCTTCACCCAGCTGTCTTCGACCTGCAGCGCCCAGGAGCTCGTGAAGCTACTCAACGAGCTCTTCGCCCGCTTTGACAAGCTGGCAGCCGTGAGTGCCCTCGCGGCTGTGCCCGGCCCCCGGGGACGCCCCCCACCCCCGCACCTTGCCTGTCCCTCCTCTGCTTTCTGTGCCACCTTCCCTCCTGAGGGGGAGCTGAGATCACAGCCCGTGCCCTGCCCTTTCAGAAATACCACCAGCTGCGGATTAAGATCCTGGGCGACTGCTACTACTGCATCTGCGGCCTGCCCGACTACCGGGAGGACCACGCTGTCTGCTCCATCCTCATGGGGCTCGCCATGGTGGAGGCCATCTCGTGAGTGCGGCGCTGCTGCGAGGGGGGACGCCTGGCCCCATGGGAGGAGCGGGCCTTCTGTGGGGTCTGTTGTGGTGGCTCAGACCCCCAGCCCCTCGGGGGGATCTGTTTGAGTGTGTCACGGGGGTGTAGCCATGCTACCGGGGGTGCAGGTTTGGTTGGCAGGTCGCTCGGTCCCCAGCTCAGGGAAGCTGGGTTGTGCATCCCTTCCTGACAGCTGAGGGGACCAATACGCGCCCACAGCCTCCGAGAGGCGCTCTCCCAGCTGCAGTCCACACTTCTTCCCTCCTGGGAGTTGTAGTTGTAGTGCATTCACACCCCGCACCCTCTCTGTTGGCCGTTCCTCCCCAGGCGGTGCCCGCCGCTTCTCTCAGTGTTTTCCCACCATGACCCTCTGCAGCAGGCTGGCTCAGGGATCGCCATGCCCATCTCCCAGACTAGAAAGCCCAGTGTACGACAGTGAAGTGACTCCTGAGGTCCCCAGACATACAAGGTGATAGAGACAGGCTGCGGCCCTGGCCCCGAGCTCCCCGCCCGGGCTCCGGCCTCCGGCCCCAGGAGCCGCGGGGCTGTGAGCTCTGCCCACTCCTTCCCCTTGGCCGGCACTGGCCTGGAAGCGAATGCCACTGCCCCCAGGGGCGGCCGTTCAGGATTAGAGATGCATCCCTGCTCATCGCATCACCATCAGGCCGAGCGCAGAAGGTCATCTGTCTCCGCCTGGAGCGATCCAGCAGGGAGTGGTGCCCCTCGGCACATGCAGCGCCTGGCACAACCTGGGCGCTCGCTGGAATGTCACCTGCATGAATAAAGGGGCGATCAGAGGAGAGCCACTGGAGGCCTCTCAGGGGAGGAGGCTGGGCAGTCGCCTGGCGTGCTCAGCGCGAAGGCGGGGAGAGAGCCGGGCACACCCAGCGGCCCCCTTGGCCCGAGGGGAAGAAAGCCTGTGTGGGCCTCCTGCGGGGCTGGGGCCGGCTCCCTGCGGCGGGCGTGCCCCGACCCCTCCTCCTCTCTGTGTGCCTGGCAGGTATGTGCGGGAGAAGACGAAGACCGGGGTGGACATGCGTGTGGGTGTGCACACAGGCACTGTGCTGGGGGGCGTCCTGGGCCAGAAGCGTTGGCAGTATGACGTGTGGTCTACTGATGTCACTGTGGCCAACAAGATGGAGGCTGGTGGCATCCCCGGGTGAGTGTTCCCTCCCAGTGGGCAGCCGTGAGGGTGGAGCGAGGGGACACCCCGTTCACCCCTCAGGGCTGCAGCCTGGACAAGGGACACAGGGCCTTAGAGGAGGGACCGCGGCAGCCGTCTGTCCTCTCTCCCCCTCTACCCACTTGCGGGGCTGCCCGGGCTCTGACGTCATCAAGCAGCACGGCCGGCCTCCCCAGAGGCCCCTGTTACTAGCGATGATCAGCAGCAGGCGGGGAGGCGGCAGTTTGTACTCGGCACACCCGCACGCCTTAGCTCTGTTACAGAACTGGCCAGGCCCGGGCCTGCCCTCGGGGAGGACAGGCTAGGGGTGTGGTGGAACCTTCCCCGCCGAGTCAGGGAGCTCCCCTCAAGAGCAGTCACAAGTCTCTCCCTGAGTGGTGACTCCCCAGAAAAGGGCTCGTTGCTCCCTACAAGTAGTCATTGCAACTAAGGGTCCTGCACAGTGCGTGACAATCGGACCTTACGACTTCAGAGTTCAGAGCAGACCTCGAAATTTCCTTTTCTCATTCGATACCGTCAGCAGCCTGTGAAGACAAGATTTTATTCTCTGTCTTACACTGAGGCTCGGAGTGGAGGGACAGGGGCTACCCTGCCCACACAGGATGTCCTTGTCTCCGTTCCCGGTGGCCCTCACCCCTCGCACCCTGAGACATGGCCCGAGCAGCAGCGTGGCCCCGCCGACGGCCCCTGCTGAGGGTGTCTCTGGCTGCCACGCAGGCGCGTGCACATCTCCCAGAGCACCATGGACTGCCTGAAAGGAGAGTTCGACGTGGAGCCTGGCGACGGCGGCAGCCGCTGCGATTACCTAGAGGAGAAGGGCATCGAGACCTACCTCGTCATCGCGTCCAAGCCAGAGGTGAAGAAAACTGCCACCCAAAACGGCCTCAACGGCTCGGTGAGTCCCCGGCCGCCCCCGGACTGGGGGATGGGGAGGTTGCAGAGGCGCCGGCAGGGCTCCAGGGTGAGCTGTGAGGTGCAGGTTGGCATCGCAGTGACTCTTGAGTCCCACCCACTGAGCAGGTGACCAGAGGTAGCCTCCTTTCAGAGGGGCAGATGGTGCCTGTCCTTCACGGCAGGTGGAAAATATGGTGCCGGCACTGTGTCCTGGCACTGGAAGTGCGTCCGTGGCGCCCGGGCAGTGGCCGGGTTGGGTAAGGGCCCCCTGCACGGAGGAAGCAGTGGAAGCCATGAGACGGATGTGGGCACCACGGGAGAGAGCACCGGGCCGAGGGCGGGCGCAGGGGGCGCTGGGGCGGGACTGGTCCGAGCGGAGGCGCCCTGCTGCCTCCTCCCCCGCCCCTCCGCCACCCTCCCGCCTTCCCCCGCTCTCCGCTTGCTTTTTATCTTCATTCACATCTTCCTGAAAGAGGAAGCCATAGTATCTCACCGTTTTAATCCCCTGTCTTTCATTATGAGTAAAGCTGGACACCTTTACTGCGGTTGTTTGCCAGGCGGTTTCCTTCTGAGAAGGGCACACTCATCTCTACCCTTTGAGCGCCCCGCTCCCCTGATTTCTAGGAGCTTTGTTATGAGAGGAAGGCGCCCGTTGTCATGTGACATTCGTCTGCCCACACTGTGGCCTGTCCCTCTGAGGGAATGTCCGTACAGGTGGGGAGGTGACTGGGGCTCCAGCACTGGGCGAGGGGGCGGAGACAGCCTGCCACGACGGCGACTGCCGCGAGCTCACGCCCTGAGCTCCGTGTCGCTGGGGAGGTCTCCAGCGCGCGGGGACTCCGGGGAGGCCAGGGTCACAGGCTGCCTGGCCCGCTCTGCCTCCCCGGCGTCAGAAGTGATGCTGTGGGAATTGTTGCAAGACAGAGCTTGAACCCCGACCTTCCCACCGCCTGCAGCTCTGCCTCTGTCCGGCTGCTGTCCTCTCGCGTGGGGCTCCTGTGCTGGCATCCCCACTGCCGCCCTGCTGCCATCTTTGCCCCCTACCCCGTCTTCTTTCTCTGCACAGCAAAGTGATCCCACTAAAATGTCAAGTGGGACCCCGTCCCTCCCCTGCTCAGAACCCTGCTCTGGTCTCCCATCTCACTCAGGAACAGCGCAAGCCCAACAGGTCAGGGAGACCCGCTCGAGTCAGGCTGTCACCGCACTGTGCCCTGTCACTCACTCCAGGCCCTCCAGGCGCGCCTGTTCCAGGGCCTTTGCCCCAGCTGCTCCCTCTGCCTGGAACCCCTGTCCCCGGACAGCTGCACGATTGGTTCCTCAGGCCTTCACTGAAGGGTCACCCTCGCGGAGACACTTCCCCAGCCCGCACTTTCCCTCTCTCTCCTTACATATGGTGACAGCGGCACTGAGGGATTTTGCTGTCGTCTGCCTTCCCTCACTAGAATGTGAGCTCTCGAGGTCAGGACATATTGTCTGTGTCCCCAGGAGTTAGATCAGTTCCTGTCACATAGTAGGTACTTAGTTAATACTTATTAAATGAATGAGTGCATGATTTCCCTGTGAGATCGTGTTTCACTTACTCTGTCAAGGAAAAATACTGCTGTGGGAATAGGAATGGGAATACTCAGACACATTTTAATAGTAGAAATTAATACTGGGAGATTATAGCATTTAAAATGTAATGTTCTAGAGGAAAAATTGAGTAGTGAAACTTCTAAGCCTATGAGGCTCCTAAGCTGTATCTAGTGAGGAGATTCCAGACTGAGAGCAGACGAATCACAGGATGCGGGGGACGGGCGGCGGGCAGTGTCTGCTGGCCCTCTAGACGGCCGCCACTTCCCACCGCAGGCCCTGCCGAACGGAGCGCCACCTTCCTCGAAGCCCAGCTCCCCCGCCCTCATCGAGACCAAGGAGCCCGATGGCAGTGTCCACATCAGCGGCTCCGCGTCGGAGGGGCCCGAGGAGCAAGAGGCCCAGGTGCGTGCGGGGCGGAGGGCCAGGATGTGGGGGGCGGCGAGGGGCAGACGGTGCTGCGGGGAGAGTCCTGTGCTCAGAGCGGGAGCGCTGCCCCTGCCCCGGGCTCTGCTCCTATTTGGCAGTGTAACCCTGGCAGGTCACCTTCCCAAACCCCAGCCCCGTGTCTCCTGGGGTCAGGGGGTGTAACGTCAGAGGACATGCTTGCCTCTGAGGCCTTGCCTTCCAGACCCTGTAGGTAGGAGGACTGTGAGGACATCCACGGACGCTCCTACAGGACCCAGGACTGTTTCGGAAGCGAGGCTTCTGGCCGAGCTCCCTTCTCTGGCTAGGTCTGGACGCCACAGGTCGCACGCCCGCGTGGGGGATTTCTAAAGGAATTAATGTGCCGTGTCCCCAAGAACAGGGTCTGGCTGGGAGCACATCCAGGATCGGGCCGTTATTCAGCGTCCTGAGTGGAGTCTCTGACTGGGGAACTGCTCAGAGACCAGAGTCTGCCTGGGGGACGGGGGGGACAGGGGTTGCGGCTGTGAGCTGGTGAGGAGCAAGGCATGTGTCGCTGTGAGGGGATGGAGCTGACCCTGGTCCCTCGAGATCAGGTGCTGGTGAATGAGAAGGGGGACAGGGCTGTGAGGAACGGGGTTTTTCTTGGCCCCACAATATTCAGTCACTGTTCCCTGCTGTGATTTTCTTGATGGAAAGTGGAAATACAGATTCAGTGTAACTCTCTAACAAGGATGCAGACTTTCAGCAGCCTGTGATTTTTCGTGTCCCCACAACAGGATGGGCCTCAGGGACAGAGGTCCTTGGTGATGGGACAGACCATCCGCTTCATTTTACAGAGAAGAAAATTGGGGCTGGGGCAGCGTGAATTACACGGGGTCAAACTGGCCACCAGTGGCCTTGAGCGTAAGGCCGGGAACCTCGGCTCTGGCTCCCAGGTGCACGCGGGGTCCATGCAGACAACTCTGATGTGCCCGGTCTCCATGTTTGTCTGGAACAATGGCCGGGCAATCGCACTCTGGATTCATGTTTTTGGAGTTAATGCTTTTCCTTTGTGGCTGGGAATAAAAATGGCAGAGGGTATCCCGGCCCCACAGCCCCACTGGGGACAAGGACATTCTTCTCTCCCATTACTCCCTCCCCCAAATGACCCAGAAGCCCTAGAGTTGGGGGTCACTGAGGTCCCCGTGGTTGCTGATGTGTGTGGCTGTGACACCCCATCCTCAGCAGATGTGCCAGGACTGCGTTGACCAGCAGTTGTCTCAAATCCCGGGTCTCCTGCTCCCCTGCAATGCTGCCGGGAGTGGGGGGACCGCCGCAGGGTTTCTGTTAGGGGCCACAGGGCCTGGGACCTGGTGTCCCAGGGAAACCAGCGAGCACTGTGACTCTGGGTCCAGACCCAAGCTCGGGGGAGGGCGCTGGATGGGCACACTGGGAAGACTTCCTGGAAAATGGTTTCTAGAGCCAAAGGCCAGTCCTCGAGAGTGTGACACCCACAGCCCCCTTTTCCCCAGCTCCGTTCCACCTGCGCCCCTAACTCTACTGCCCTTGCACGTGTGCTGCCCCGTAGGCCGGCAACCCCTCGTTCCCCAACCCGCGCCGGAGGCTGCGCCTTCAGGACCTGGCCGACCGCGTGGTGGACGCCTCCGAGGATGAGCACGAGCTCAACCAGCTCCTCAACGAGGCCCTGCTCGAGCGGGAGTCCGCCCAGGTGTAAGTAGCCCTGCACACGGCCTGGCCTGCGCCCCACAGCGCGTGCCTTGTTGGGCCCTGGCTCGGGGTTCGGGAGGTTGCGGCTTGACTCTGGCCCCTTCCTGACAGGCCGAGGCGGGTGTGGCATCTCTGTGTCACGGGGCTTGTTTCCACTGCAGAGTGAAGAAGAGAAACACCTTCCTCCTCTCCATGCGCTTCATGGACCCCGAGATGGAAACCCGCTACTCGGTGGAGAAGGAAAAGCAGAGCGGGGCCGCCTTCAGCTGCTCCTGCGTGGTCCTGCTCTGTGCAGCCCTGGTGGAGATACTCATCGACCCCTGGTGCGGGCCTGGGGGCACTGCAGGGCAGAGGCCGGGGAGGCGAGGGCCAATGAGCTTCCTAGGCCGGGGGCAGGAGGGGTGTGGGCACCTCAGCCGCAGCCTGGTGTGGGGCAGACCTTGTCTGTTCCTCGCCCCCCGCTGGAACTCGCAGCTGCCCTCAGACCCAGGGAGTGTGGAGGGCTCTGCCCAGGACCCCCACCCTTCTCTCTGCTCCCTGGGGGTATGGAGTAGTACCAGCATCAAAATGGGGATCAGACCCGGCTGAGAAGGCCGAGGGGCAGAGGATCCAGGGGGTTGGAGACCTCGGCTAGCTGGGCCCGAGTGGTTCTGGGATAAGGAGACAGGGGCTGGGGACACTCCTCAGCTTCAGTCACAAGGACGATCTGGTTCCCTTCCTGGGCTCATCTCAGTAAAGGCTGATTTTAGGCTCAGGGCACAGAGTGGTAGCTCTGACACAGCAGCAAGTCCCTGGGGCAAGAGGGTGTCGTGGAGTCCCTGCCTTAACTGCTGATGCCCAACAGGAGGACAGCTCCCTCCTTCCTTCCCTCCCTGCCTGAGCCAATCAGCAGCTCGCCCCTGCTCAGGGATTTCCCATCGGAAAGGAGCCCTGTCGTTCGTTTGGGGAATGTCCAAGAGCCTTGGACTCCCATGGTCCCAGGTTCTGGACACACTTTACTGTTGTATTTCTTGTATGACTGTAGGCATGTCGCTAAGGGTTCCTGGAGCATCAGTTTACTCATCTGCAAAGCCAGAGCTGATGATGGTAACCTGAGGGTAACAGCATCTGCCTTAGCTAACTCTGAGGGTTGTTGTGTGGATCAAATTCACTCATTCACTTCACAGATATTTCCTGTCTACTTTGTGTCCAGAGCTAAGATCTAGGGATGGAGCAGTGAAGGCCATGTACAAAAATCCCTGCTCTAGTGGAACTTACATTCTAGAAGGGGAAGATAAACAAGTAATCAAAATGTGTATGCAGACAGGGATGAGTGTAACAGATAAAAGTCAGGTGAGGAAGAGAGATGGGGGTGCTGGTGGTGAGATAGATTTTGGTTGGTTTGCATTTTTATATGGGATGCTCGGAGCAGGCCTCACTGACAGGGTGGCACTTCAGGGAAGACCTGAAGGAGGCGTAAGAGGTGACCAAGGATCAGACACTGGATTAGCAACGTGGAAGTTTCCAGGGCTCTTGGCAAGAACACTGAATGCAGTGAAACCACATGGGAAGTGTGTGAGAATGCGGGATTTGGGGACAGTGAGTTTCTTGGAGTCCACAAGATGAGGTGGATGTGGAAAGGACCTTGTCAACTGTGAAGCTCTGTGCAGCACTAAGAGGGTAACCGAGCGGTGCTCAGCAGTGCAGGGAGCTGCTGTGTGCTCCAACCTTCTGTTGTAGCAACAGGGCAGCACGTTCCTCCCTACAAAGCCCTTTCCAGGTGTTGATGGGGCTCTGCCTGGGCATCTGTGAGTGCGCCCTTCTCTGGGAAACGTCCTGACCAACAGCCACAGCTCCAGAGGGTTGCCTCCTCCCAGGCCCCACACACAGCCCTCAGGCCCTTAATGTCACAAAGAACTTTCTGGGGACAGGCTTGTGCCTTCCATCCAGGGCCTGCTGTGTCTCTCCTTCCCCGTGTTCTGCTAGCCCTTCACCCAATCTCACTGCTCCTTTGGGTCCTCTCCCTGACTGCCTTCTCCCTGTTATAGGCTGATGACAAACTATGTGACCTTTGTGGTGGGGGAGCTTCTGCTTCTGGTCTTGACGATCTGCTCCCTGGCTGCCATCTTTCCCCAGGTAAGAAGCACTTTTTCTTTTCGCTTAGAAGCCCTCCAGAAGGGTGTGTCCCTCCCTGTAACACTGGGTATTGATGGAGTTAGGCATTCTCTCGGATCCCTACAAACACATTACAGAGCATCTGTCAGGGTGGTCCAGGACGATCCATCCATTCATTCATTCCACATTCAGTCATTCGTTGACATCGGCTGAGCACCCACTGGGGCTGGGCTCTGGAGGGCTCTGATGGTGGAGCACGCATGGGTGTGTGAGTCCGGAGAAACGGGAGCCTGTGTAGGAGGGGAAGAGCAGTGGAGGCCCCGCAGGAAGGTTGGCCTCGACTGCAAAGGACCTTGGAATGCCAGCAGCAGATTAGGACTGACTTCTATCAGCACTGGGGTGCCATACAGAGTTTTTGATTGGAAGACAAGGCAAAAGTAGTGTTTTAGGAGAATTAATCTGGCAGGTGGCTTGCCAGGTAATGGGAGATTTAGGTGCACTGACTAGGGAAAGGCAGGAAGAGCCAGGCAGAGGCGGCTGGCCCTGAGAATTCTTCCGTGTTGGCCATGGCACTTGGCGATAAGGAGCAGGCTGCTGCTGGCTGGTCCCTGGGTCCTCTGTGGAAAGCGTTCTGCTACCTGGGAGCTGTGATGTGTTATAAATATGTCACGTAGGGGTGAGCGCGCCTGGATTCCTGTGTGCCCTTCTCAGCTCTGCCGCACTGTCAGCTGTGGTCAGCAGACACGCAGGACGCTATGTTTTAGGTTCCTGGGAAGTATGGGAGCATGACTTTACAGAGGAAAAGGCTCATGGCCCCGAAACTCCATTCCTTTTAGGCCTTTCCTAAGAAGCTTGTGGCCTTCTCAACTTGGATTGACCGGACACGCTGGGCCAGGAACACCTGGGCCATGTTAGCCATCTTCATTCTGGTTATGGCAAATGTTGTGGACATGGTGAGTGCCCGCTGTCCTCGTGGAAGGGACACTCCCGCTTTTGGTAGAAAATGGCTCCCATACTGGCTGGCATGGGCAGCTTGGCCAGCCGTTCCTCCACCATGAGGTTCCTCCAGGTTTGGGCCGGCATTATGTTCCTAAACCAGCCATTCCAGCCAAACGGGAGGTCTTCTCCCCAGGAAACCTCTGAGGCGGACTGGTTTCCCCAGCTCCTCTTTCCCAGGGTTCAGGAACCCAGTGTCACGGCCAGGTCCTGTGCTAGGTGCTCTACATCCTCTGACTCACTTAATCTTGTTTTATTTATTTCTACTTTTCAACCACAGTTTCCATTCATCACTTAGCCTGTAACAATCCCAGGAGGCCAGTATTATTAGCTGTAGTTTCATATGAAGAACCAGTGTTCACAGAGGTTAATTCACTTGTTTTTAGTCACACAGCCAGTAAGCGAGTCAAGAATTGAAGCAGGTCTATCTCCCAGTCCTGTGTTTTCTTCCTTCACATCTCCCTACTCGCCCTGGGGCACAGTATGCGCAAGCAGAATTCCCTAAGGGGCGGCAGGGGTTTGGGGGGGGGGGTCATCATCCCTCAGCACCAAGGGGGGCAAACCTCTTCCCCTGCAGGAGCGCTCTTGTGTGGCCTCCATCCATCCTGGTGGGGCCAGCCTAGGGCTGGGTCACTGGGGAAAGCAACTGCACAGAGCCTCAGTGGCTGGAGGCAGACAGATTCCTCTTCTCTGCTGTCCTGTGTTTATGGAGACACTGGGGTCCCAGGAGGGGGTGGCCAGATGCTTTCTCGGGGAGGAGGGAAAGCAGCTGGAAGCCGAGATCTGTTGGTTCAGAGCCACCGGTCACTTACAGAGCACTGCGTGCCAGAAGCCGTCGTCCATGTCTCCTGTCAGTCCTCGCAGCTCCTGCCTGCTCTGGTAGTATGTACTGCAGACACTCTTTTTTAAAAGCCCTACTTTTCTCAAATACAATGCTGTTAGGTTATTTGCTTTGTTTTCTTTAACAACCTAAGGCAGGAAAGAACCCGGCGCGGAGACGTGCTGTGGCAGCAGCATAGGGGGCGCAGCCATGGGCCCACTGATCACGAATCCCACTGGGATGGGACTGGGAGCTCCGGAACCTCAGGCGCCCCTGGGCTGCACGCGCCACAGTGCAAGGAGGCAAAGCCCCACGCCCCCGGCGTGTCAGAACACACCTGAGGGCTGGTGCCCAGACCTGGGGACCGCTGTTCAACAGGTCACGGACACCGTGCAGGAGACCTGGAGACCCTGTCACTAGTGAAGGGTGAAAGCCTGGGAGTCGGGAAGACTCTTCACATGCTAGAATCCCATGCTGAGAACTTCCCCAGAGCCTGCCACGCTCCCGTGGGTGCCGGGTTCATTGTTTACGGATGCACTTTCTCCTGCCTGCCCCTGCCCATCACTGGGACCAGCGGACAACTCCAGAAACGGCAGACTGGCCGCCCTCAGTGGAGCTGTGAGGCCTGGCTGACTGGCTGCCCCGACAGTCCCTCTTTAACAGTGTGAGGTGGGCAAGAGCATATTGGCTTTGAAACCTAAAGACTGGACACTTAGCTCTGCCTTCACCCCTTGCTAACTGTGCTACTTTGGGCCAGTATGGCCTGAGTTTTCTCAATGATGATGGTGATACTAAAAATACTCAGGGAATTTTTGTGAACATCAAAAGGTACAGTTCTTAGGAGGAATGGCTAACATTTGTATTACTATTCCTTAGTAAATCTTCCCATTCTTCTCGGTGTTTCTGAGGGAGCCATGAGAAATGGCAGCTGAGCATACGCTGCCCCAACAGCCTTCTCTGACCAGTGTCCTCTGTTCCCTTGACCCTGTGTTCTCGCCACGGTCCTGACCTCCAGCTGAGCTGCCTCCAGTACTACATGGGACCCAACAACGGCACGGCAGGGACGGAGACGGAGGACGGCTGCATGGAGAACCCCAAGTATTACAACTATGTCGCTGTGCTGTCCCTCATCGCCACCATCATGCTAGTGCAGGTCAGCCACATGGTCAAGCTCACACTCATGCTGCTCGTCACGGGCGCGGTGGCCATCATCAACATCTACGCCTGGCGCCCCATCTTTGATGAATATGACCGCAGACGTTTCCAGGAACATGAGTAAGATGAAACTTGTTTGGGAATCTGGATTTTCTTCCTTTCCCTGACCCCCCGGCCCCCCACTTCAGAAGTCATGTGTCTCTAGGGCTCATCCAGGGGCTTATATGGGAATCGGAGTTCACAGCTCCTCACAGATGTGCCACTGAATGGCCGTGAACCTGGGATAGATCTTCCTGTCCTGATGAGCGGGAGATCTGGGTTGCCTCAGTGTATGGCCGGGCACTGGCCTCTTGTACCTGGATAGGGCCCGAGTGTGCTATTATCTGCCCAACAGCTTTCCTATGGTCGCCTTAGAGAAGATGCAGATCCTCTCCACCCCTGGGTTCAATGGCACCGACAGGTAAGGTGGCTGCTTTCCCTCCTGGTCTGCATTTTCAGCCCCTTTCCTCTAGAGACAGGCAGTGCCACAGGCCAGAGCTCCATGATCTCACCAAGGCACATGGCACGGGATGTCAAGTAGAGAAGCCAGGATGTGCTTCTGTAGGAGGGCTGGGGCAAAGGCAGAGCGATACGGTGTGGCCCCGGCCACCCCGAGTCAGAGCAAAGCCTGGAGAGCAGGAGCAGTCTGTTTGGAGGGTGGGCTGAAGAGGCTGGAATGAGGGGGCAGTGGAGTCAAACGGCTGGTGCTGCATTTAGCTGGCAGGCGGGACAGCCAGCAGAAACATGAGAGGATGCCGCCTGGGACCCAGAAGACCTGGAAGCTTTGTCTGCTGCAGCGCTTCTCCTGGAGCTGCAGGCGGCCCAGCTTCCCCGAGTCCCAGCTTTAACCCTTAAAGAAGAGAGTGGACTGGAAGCTCTCCAAGGTCCCTTATAGCTCTAAAATTTTAGAAGTTTATGATTCAGTGACTTGACTAGAATCAAGTTTTAACAAAAAATTACTTAATAGAAGATGGGTAGAAGACTATTAATAGATCTGTCACAAAAGAAGAACTCTAAATAGCTACTAATAAATGAAAAGCATTTAAGTAATCGGCAAGTCCAAATTAAGACAACGAAAGACCATTACACACGTACCAGTTTGGCGAGAATTAAGTCTGATAATGCTAAGTACAGTGGTAACTCATACACTCTTGATCAGAGTATAAATTGGTATGACCACTTGGAGTTATTTAAAATAGACCCATGACCCAGCAATTCCACTGCTGTATATACACCTTAAAGAGATCTACGTACATAGGTATGTGCCAGGATATATAGACAAGGATTCGTAATAGCCAAGTACACAAACATCCAAAACAAATGAGAAGGATCCAAAGTATATAAATAGTGGATGGGTATCTAAACTGTGGTATATTCATATAATAGAATAGTATAAAATGATGAAAATAATAAACTATAGCTCCACACAAAAATATGAAGGTGTGATGTAAGAAAACTTTGCTGCTCAGTGAGAACCTGGATTTAATGTAAAGGCTTTTAAGCAGCTGGGAGGTTTCTGGGGCCTGAGGTGACGGGAAGAGCACAACCCAGTTGGAATAAAACACCCTGTATAAGAGGGCAGCATGGGTGCTCTTTCAGTAGAATTGCTCTCTGCCCCACAGGCTGCCCCTGGTGCCTTCTAAGTACTCAATGACAGCGATGATCTTCATCATGATGCTGAGCTTCTACTACTTCTCCCGCCACGTGAGTGCCTGTACACCCTCCTCTCCTACTTTGCTCACAACCTATCAGGGCTACCTGAGTTAGTAGGACCAGGATCTGAGAACCCAAAATCCTAAGGAATGCTGGTTTCCTTTACCCAATATAGCATGTGACCCTGTCAAGCCACCACCACCTCCATTTTCTGTTTTTTCCCTCAGCGATACAGGCAAAACAGTTCTTGACCTTTTCCTTCTGACCTCCAGGATGCTGAAGGAAGCATGGGGGAGGGGAATCAAAGCCTGGATAAAATCTGTTCTCCAGGCCAGGAGCTCATGGATCCTCCCTCACTCCGGCTCTGGGAGTCACTAACACACTGACCACAGAGCTAGAAGAGAAGGACAAGCAGCTGATGTTTTTTGGTTAATGGTTAAAAAAAAAAGGGGGGGGAGGAGACCAGGAAGTATCCATGCAAGGAATTTACTGCTCCACATTAGCTCAAGTGCCACCCAGTGGTCTGTCAGGGGAACTACAGCCTTCCCAAGCCACTTGGCCAGATGGGGCCTGCTAGAAAGGGGACTCTCCTCCCCTGGCTGGGGGATCCCCACCACCCACAGGCCAGACCTGTAGCAACAGTTAGGTCCCAGGAAGCTCCACACACCCAGAAGGCCCCTTTGAGCTCTGCTGTCAGCACGGGGTGGCCTTTTTAGTTAGGTGGATCAGAATTTCTGGGTCTTCTTTCCCTTGCTGTGTAGCCATCTTCCTCCCCGTTTCTCCATGCAGAACCCCTCAAGTCCCCATTTTTCATCTTCCCATCAGATGGCCAACTTAAGAGTGTACACCTTGTGTCTACAGGTGGAAAAACTGGCGCGGACACTGTTCCTGTGGAAAATTGAGGTCCATGACCAGAAGGAACGTGTCTATGAGATGCGACGCTGGAACGAGGCCTTGGTCGCCAACATGTTGCCAGAACATGTGGCACGCCATTTCCTGGGGTCCAAGAAGAGAGATGAGGTGAGAGGTGGCCTCATGCTGCAGCCTGGACCCAGAGGCTGTGTCTTCATCTGGCTTTCTGCCAGGGAGCCCCTGAACCCAGGCCTTCTCATGGCATGACAGTAAGGCCTGCTACAGTTATGTGAGTCACAGATCTCTGTGACGTCCCATCTTAGCAGACGAAGCCTGGGCTACAGCTTAGCTATTTGTCAACTGTGATCTTCTCAATAGAAGATCACATCTTCTTCTTCTTCTTCTTCTCACTTCTAAGAGGGATGTGTCTCATCCCTCACTTCCCAACTCCACTGTACCCTCTCGTACATTGACTGGGCTGTTACAGGGACTAGGGAAGCCATTTTTTATTTAGTCAAAGTTGTGGTGAAAGCTCCTTTCTAATAATGCAAAGTTGGGATAATCTGGGGGTGTCTAAAAAGCTGAGGGACTGATCATGGGTCGGAAGCACATTTCTTCTGTAGCACATTATTTAGTCAAGAGATTCTTTGAGCACTTTGGCCCTGCCTCTTTTTAGGAGCTATACAGCCAGTCTTACGATGAAATCGGAGTCATGTTTGCCTCCCTGCCCAACTTTGCTGACTTCTACACAGAGGAGAGCATCAATAATGGCGGCATAGAGTGTCTGCGCTTCCTCAATGAGATCATCTCAGATTTTGACTCTGTGAGTGTCCATCCCACCTCCCTCCTCCTGCCACAAAGCCAGCTCATTCCAAATGGTATCTCAGAATAGGCTACAAGAGTCGTTAAGTGGCATTCTTCTAGCTGGCCCTGTGTTCCCATGAGCCCTCCCTACAACGTATGGGCTTCTGGAACCGTCTAGAAATGCTGGGTCAGGGGCAGGGGTGGTGAGATGGGAGCCTGGAAAATCACCTACAAGCTCACAGGTAAAGACTGGCCAAAATAAGATCTGGAGGTCCCTCGGATTCCCCCTACCTCCAAATACAGACTCATGAAACACTAGGTTACTTGTACATCAAAGGAAATGCTTTTATATACATGTTCAACCACCCTAGAGATTGGCAGTTTTATCATAATGTTATGGTTATAGAAACTGAGGCTCAGGAATTTTGCCTAGGGTCATGTGGCAGAGAACTGGCAGAATAAATCATCTATGCGAAAGCATCTCTTGATGTTTTGTGGGGGTCATTGTAAACAGGCAGACTGTCATTTAGTTGGCTTACTCATTGCAATTGCTGACAGTTTTCCTTAATACTGGCTTTAGCTTCTAGATAATCCAAAATTCCGGGTCATCACCAAGATCAAAACCATTGGCAGTACCTATATGGCAGCTTCAGGAGTCACCCCAGATGTCAACACCAATGGCTTCACCAGCTCCAGCAAGGTATCCAACCAGCTAAGTGGCTAGAGAGGAGATGGGGCTCTGCTCTGAGGCAAGAGAGGTGGCCCAGGCTGAGTACGCGGGGAACCAGAACTTGCAAGAGTAGCTGACATTAAGCACTGCTGTACACAGGTACTTTGCACCAGCACCGAGCAATGCACATTTCACGGCGGGTTTACTAAGACAGTGTACGTGCTGCAGCCCGCTACTGCTCCGTGGCCTGCGTCTGGCACACGCTGCTGTGTAACTGCCATGCTCCCTGGGCTACTTTCCTGAGGACTGGGTGGCAGGACCACCTACACGATGTGGCAGTGGAAACATCCAGACTGGGGGGATGGTTTTGTTCAGTTAGACTCGTGGCGCCAGCTCTATTCACCTGCCAGAGGGAGAGGAAATGGCCTGCGGGGGCCCTGGTCTCAAGGGCTGTTCTTAAAACAGTATCATCCTATTTTATCTTACAACTGCCATCTCTATTCTATGGATGAGGTCAAAGAAACATGCCTAGGCCTCAAGTGCTTTTATAAGCTAGCTGAGAAGTCAAAATAAGGACAACTATCCGAAGCTTCAAGACCAGGTTCAGACAAGGTGATGAGACAGGACTCCTGAGCAGAGCGAGTCACAGCAGACAGGAGGCAGAGGGGGGCTGGGTAGGATTTGTCTTTCCCACCACCACCACATGGTGACAAGTGGGTGCTAAAGAGGGTGCTGACTCCTTTGGGGAAAGAAGTGAATAGACCTTTAACAACCAAGTGAAGGGACTGACCTCCAGAATGTTAAGGAAGGTGAGCAGGCTGCTGTCCTTATGGGCCAGACCGGCTCCTGATGCTTCGCGGTTGCTCTCTGGCGCAGGAGGAGAAGTCAGACAAGGAGCGCTGGCAGCACCTGGCCGATCTGGCTGACTTTGCATTAGCCATGAAGGATACGCTTACAAACATCAACAACCAGTCCTTCAACAACTTCATGCTGCGCATAGGTAAGGTGCTAGGCTCCATTCTGATACTGGGGACTCAGCAAATCAGCAGGAAGGAGAGGCTTAGAAAGACCCAGTGCATTTAGGTTGGGGGAAGGTTGTATGCTCATAGAGCTGGAGGGACCTTATGGGGGACCTTTAGTCCAGGCTCTTCTAGAGGAGCAGCCTGAAAGCTGGCTGACGGAGTCACGGTTAGCTGCACCTCTCCCACGGTTTACAGTGACAGCTTCCTCCTGAGTCTGGCTGGGAAGTCAGTTTGCTGCCTGCCTTTCTAAGGCACCTTCTACATCCACTGAGGGCTTTGCTCACCTCTGTCCAGCCTGTTAGGAATTAGCCACCTGCTAATGGGAATTTGAGTGGGGAGGTTTTAACTTCTGATGAGGTCACAGGAGGCCAAGTACCAGATCTGTCAGGAACTGGCAACTTCTATACTAAGCTAATCAGTGTATTGGGTATCACTGACAATTTGCTAAGCATGTGGTAAAGGCAGCATAAACAGGAGACGTGAATCCTGCCCTCCAATAACTTAAAGAGGCCGAATGAGGAATATGTTACATAACTGGGAGCTTTATGGTAGGGGTCAGGTGGCGAATTCTGAGAGGAGTTGGTAGCTTCGAAGAGAAGGCTGGCAAGTGGCTGGGCTGAACTTTATCCTCTGCCCTAGGCATGAATAAAGGAGGGGTCCTGGCTGGAGTCATCGGAGCCCGAAAACCACACTATGACATCTGGGGCAATACAGTCAACGTCGCCAGCAGGATGGAGTCCACAGGGGTCATGGGGAACATCCAGGTCTGTCCAACAACAGGGCCGAACATGTGCTCAGATGCAGGGACTGGGAACAAAATGGAAAGAGTGCATGTTCTGCGACCCACTGTCTCCTCCTTGCTGAGTTTGGCATGAGAGTGGCATGAGATGAAGGGCGAGAGTGGGAAAAGGCGCCTCCACGGCTAGCAGAAGGGAGAGAACACTTCAATCCCATTCGCAAAACTTAGGTGTAAGTTCTGGGTACTAATATCCTGCCTCTCGGTATGAACCTTCTGACACCTGGTGCCTCCAGCAGCCCCCACTGAAGCCACCCTACTCTGTATTGGCTGGGCCTGGCATAATAGTTCCACAGAAGGTGCAAAGGGCAGAGAGTAGAAGTTTCCAAACAATGGTGTTGCCACATAGGCTGTCTGAGGGGAGAGCGCAACAGACTGTCTTGGAGAGATGGGAGGACCCCAGGCAAAGCACCGTGTTCTGCTGTTCTCTGGTGTATGGAAGGAGGGGGCTTGGCCCTGGGAGACCTGGAGAAGGAAGCTCCAGGTTGAATAGACTGGGACCTGCAGACCACATGTGGGTACCACCTGGGGGGCCCTCGATCTCGGCTTCCCTCCGACCCCAAGCTCTTGTACTGTGTTCTCCCTCCATAGGTGGTAGAAGAAACACAAGCCATCCTTCGAGAGTACGGCTTCCGCTTCGTGAGGCGAGGGCGCATCTTTGTGAAGGGGAAGGGGGAACTGCTGACCTTTTTCTTGAAGGGGCGTGACAAGCCAGCCGCTCTCCCTAACGGCTCCTCTGTGACACTACCCCACCAGGTGGTAGACAGCTCCTGAATGGCATCTAGCCTGCCATAGTCCAAATGGGAAGGGAGAATGTATGTTTTGGAATCAAGGGCCTTGGGAAAGGACAAATGACAAAGTCCCAACATTCCCAAACTGTTGAAGTGCACACTCAGAGACATTAGATTTAAAAATATCCTCAAGCCTTCATTTGTTCGTGGACAGCGAGCTCCGAGTGTAGCTGTGCTGCTACTCGGTGTGTGCCTGCAGCTTCCCCAAGAGCAAGGGTCTTACGCGTAGTACTAGCAGTGCTTCCAGAGCCCTAGTTCCGACAGCCCTCCTCCCTGCAGAGAGGCCATGGCCACTGTGAGCAGGACCGTACCAGAGTGGAACAAACTTGCCTTTGCCGCTTGGGGACACAGATGGGACCGCCGAGCTGGCGAACACCTATTCCCAGCTGCTGCTTGAAAGCAGCGCTTTCCCTTCTGAAGAGGGCATGAGCTGGAGGCCGGCTTGTCTCCGTGTGGTCCAAGTCAGGTGGAAGGGCCCTTGTCCTGATAATCTTGAAAGGTTCTTCTGGAACCCCTGTCACCTTAGTCATGAGAACAGGAAGTGCAATAGTTCCTTTTACCTGGTGGGAGGGAGGGAAAAGGGAATTTATTTCTGAAAGAAAAATATATCAACAGATCTTCTACATTTATATTTTTAACTTTCTGTTTAAAAATACTTTCCGATACTGCCTTGCCTTTTGAGCTCTTGCTATATTCACCTTTGCTACTGCTTTAAAAGAGAATTTACAGGTATTGATAAAGAACAAGACTGTTTTATTAAAAGCTTTCTTCAACTTGAATGTGATCATTGTGAAAATCCTGGTAACCCTCCTCTGAGCAGTGCTTTGCTGACTCACCACTGGTCCTTGCCACATGTCTGGAAGGCACAAGAGCTTGAACTAAGACATCTCGTTTATTCTTAAGTGGCTTTCTTCTAAATGGTGGGCCTAGCTAACCTTACCATGCTCCTGTGCTCCCCCGTTAGCTGGAGCACTCATACTTGTAAGGTTACTTCCTGGTCACCAGATCTAGAAAGTGACCATTGTAAAGTGAGTTGAGGCCTGAATACAGCTCTGCGTCTTGGGTAGTAATGACTCTTCTTTGTGACTGGCCAAAGGGGGATAGGAATTGAAATGGCAGGACCTGGCCAGTTAGACAGATCTGTGAACTGGGCCTACACATACTCCCTTAAGCTAAGGCAAATGCCAGCAGATCCAAGGCCATGGTTCCACGGAGAAATGGTACAGTCAGACCACGATGTGGGGGAAGACAAATGCATAGTCACGGCCTATAGCTCGCAAGAGATGGAGGGGAGGTCTGCCCCCTTCTGCAACCTGAGTTATGAGCCGACTTCTGACCATGCCTTTCTATAGCTGACTTAAAACTGTCAGCTCGCTCCTGAGATGTTTGAGGAAACAAAACATTAGAGACAAAGAACCCTGATTACTTTATCCATAGGGCTTTCTCCACACCATTTTACAAAGGCAGTGGTCTAGAATATACTGCTCCAAACACACTTCCCTTCTTAGCTATACATCTCATACGAATTGAGAGTAGGCTAAGAACTTTACTTTCAAAAGTCTCATATAGGAAAGTGGGGTGGAATTAAAGCTTTTGTAAAAGCTAGAAATACTTTTCAGTTGAATGGTACGTATTCCTCTCACAAAATGCCTTCTATTGCCCTACAACCCAGTCTGATTTTCACCTAAAACATATGGTCAAATCAGTATCTCCAAGAACATGATCTTGAGCATTTAACAAATGACCAGGATGGAGAAGTGTCAAATGCCAATGTCTGTGAACTCAAACTTGCCCCTTCGTGGTCCTGATGAGGTGGCCATCTGTCTTCATTGAAAGGATGGCCCCAGGCAAGGAGTCTGAGCCCTTCAGCAGTTTTTAGTCCCAAGATCTTGCCTGGGACTGTGTACAGTCTTTGTTTACTCACTTTTGATGTGTTCTCAATCAAAATAATATTCTAGTAGACTAGCTTCAAATCCAACCTTTCTTCTCCTCTTGCAAATGAAGCAAACACTTGATGTAGGGGCTTAGTACAGAATAGGTGTTCATGGGTGGCTCGCTGTTCTTCCCATGAGGTGGATAATGTGTCTGTCCCTAAAAAAGAAAGATTCTGTCAATCTCATCTAGTGCAACTGGGAGAATCAGAATCTGGATCACTGCTATTCTGGACCCACGTAACTTTTTCTTTTCAGTCTGGAGCTTAGAGGCTGGCCCTTGCTGGACCAATGTGATTTTGAAACTGGGAACTTAGAACAGACTGCCCAGAGAAATCCAAAACCTGTCGCAACTTCAAAATTCCTGCCTCCTAAAAACATTTTATCCTATTTTTTCTTATTACTCATGTCACATTACTAGTGGTACACTTAACTGAAACAGGTAACAAAAAAGTCTTGGCAAGCTATGAAAAATTCCCCCTTGGAGAAGTCTCTAGAGAGCTCAGGTGTACACGGACTTGCCACGTCTATTTGGCTGTAGAGTGAAAATGGGCCTTTGGCACTTCACCACAGTGACCCTGTGGGTCAGCCCCATCAGCTGTCCCTTCAAGAGCGAAGAGCAGTCTCCAATGAAAACAAATTATAAGCTGAAAGAGCACTGGCTGAGTTGGAAGGAGCAGAGGAGGGAAAACTATGATGATTATGTTTACTGTTTACAAAGAGGAAGGAAAACTGGTAGAAACGAAATGGTATTTTACTCTTTGTATTTTTCTGTTTATTGTATATAAACAGAAGAAGGTGTCTCAAGAGGTCCAACTGATGTATTCCCCCTATTTCACCCTGCTTCACTCAACCCAAGTGACCCAGAGCTTGTCACGTTAGTTTCCCCACTGCGGCGCCCTTCCTCTTACCTTGGTAAGTAATGGTGACGTCGGTTGGGAGGGTTACTGTCAGGTCCTTGTAGAGCAGCCTGGCACCAAATGGGAAGGCCTGGCCACTCTGCTCCACTTTGTACGTAAATGACAGCAGATTACACAGTGAGTTTCTCTGCAAGGGCCCTGCCAGAAAGGCTGCAAAGTCACTCTAAGGGAGGCGGGGATCAAAACAGACACAAGGCACAGACAATTACGGCTCCGAAGGCAGTGAGTGGCTGTGACACTTCAAACATGGCCTAACAAAAATAGGGCCCTGTTAATAAAATTTTAGAAAAATAAAGAACAGAGAGAGGTCTGAAACGAGGACTAATGACAGGGATTTGTAAGACAACTAAGAGTCAGTGGCAGCCTAGGAAGGCCTGCAGGAAGCATGCACTCACTTAAGTAAATGGCCAGGGATTGGGGATGCAGGAGAGATACTATTTCTGCCACGAATTCCAGTGACAACATGTACGTGGCTGAGATGCTTATGCTGCATACACATATCAATTTATTTAAATGACAGCCAGGAGCTTCACCATCACTCCAAATGTCTAGAGGGGGAAACTCTTCAGCTTGTAAGCCTCCATTATTCCCTGCTGCATTCACTCTTGTCCCCGTCCCCAACACTAGCTCAATTGTAACCCTAAGGAGGTAGGTCAAAATTTAGGGAAAAATGGATAGTATTTCTCTGTGATATTTCAGATTATTCTGCTTTGCACCTAAACCCCAGGTTCAGCAAGGCACTTGGCACACAGAGATATTCTGTCATTCCCAGCTGAATAAAAAGTATAGCAGCTGTATTCCACTACTTTGTGATGGGAAGAAAGGGTCAAGTATAAAAGCTTGAGGTCCGCCACTGGGGAATGCATAGTCCCTTAACCAGTATTCATGCTTCAGCATCATCCAGAGTTTCAACGGGGGAAGAGAGGAGTGGGAAAACAACTTGTACTTAAATAATAAACAAGTATTAGAAGGGTAACAGTCCAACTTCTGACTCAGTTATGAAACATAAAATACAAAAGAAAAACTTCACCCCCATCCCCCTCTTTTTTTCCTTTTAAGCCTTTCCTGGGCTCAGCAAATGTTACATAAGATCCCAGACAGATACCTGAAGTCGATCTGCCTGGTACTTCCTCCCAGAGTAAGCATTCAGGTGTTCGCATAGACTGAACAGGAAGTGCTGAATATTAGTCTGCAAGTATTTTGCAGATATCTCCTCTAGGGGAATGAAGACTGGAATTGAATGGTGATGTATCCGAAGCGGTTTCTGTATGACAAGGTCCACGAAATAGGAACCCAGCAGGTTCCCCTCAAAAGCGGTCTGGATGCAAACACAGACGCCCCGGCTGGTCAGTTTCCCACTGAGTCCTGAGACAGACAAGACAACAACCCTTAGCAGAGGGCGGGCAGGGCCGGTATCTTACTCATCAGTTGCGCCAGCACTGCCTAGTACACACAGTGTGTGTTCGCAGGTTTTCTGAATGACTGAGTATCAGACTCTTCCCTCTCGTGAACATTGGCTCACTTTGAGTTTGAGTTGTTAAGGACACGGAATGGCAGAAAAGAAAAAAAACATCCTGAATATCAAATTATTGAGGAAAAGGTTTTGAATTTTTCAAGTTACCTGTTTTGTTTTGTTTTTCCTGAAAGTCAAATTATGATGGACCCCAGTTTCCCCCTAATCCTTGTGACACAGATAATGGGGAGAATAAATCACCATTTTAATGGTGAAACAGAGACTTGGGGTGTTCAAACTATTTGACCAGTGGCATAAAGCCAGCAGTAAAGAAAGTTCTAGTACAGGATCTGGCACACACTGAATAGCAAATAAAGAATATCCTAAACCAGCTACCAATCAAATCTGTTGCACAAAGAGGCCAATATTGTAGGTAAAGGCGCTTGTATACTGAGGGGGCAAGACCAATGCCCAAGAATAAGTCCAGGAGTAATCATATACCGACCAAACTAACTCCGGTAGAGACCAGACTGAAACAGGTCAGGGAAAAGTATACCTGTAAAACGATAGGCTTGCAGAATGGCTTTCATGTTTTCCCATTTTCTTTCCAAAACTTGCCTGCTGACCTCCAATGTTTGGTCAGGTTCGACACTGGCTTCAACCTGCAAGAAATGGAGCAAATCAAACAAGACCCAAAGGGGCATAACACAATGTTTCTGCCCGCACCTAATTGGAATAAAACAGAATGCAGAGTATTACATAATGAATGAAGAAATGCTACAGTGGTCCACAGCTGCTATGAATTCATAGTAGAGGAAGAGTCTTGTGGGTCAGTGTTAGGAATCAGCAGCAGAAATTGCGCTGGCCTGAAGAATATTGTGAGAGGCAGAAAAAAAGGGTGCGAACAAAGTCTAGTGTGAGCACAGGGTGAGCAAAGCAGCTGTGAAGAGGCAAGGCTAGAAAGCTAGTTTGGGTCAGATGGGGCAGGCTTCCAACTGCCAGGGTAAGGAATACTGACTCTTTTAAGACGTACATTTAGAAACGCAGGTGGTTTCAAACTAACTCTCCCTCTGAGAACTATACAAGCTGGATGAAATTCTAAAACTGAGTAAGCAAACAGGTAAGCAAACAAACAGAACGGTCTGAAGGTGTTAGAGAAACACCAAAACAGCCAGACTTAAGGTGAAAGATAACTGCTCTGTGCTTAGCTGGGTTTTCCCTGCAGCTATCCCCACCCCCAGAGCACTTGATTTGTATCACAAAGCACAAAAGGGGCAGGGTCAACTTTGTTGTGGTCCCACTGAGGCAAAAACTGGAGGCCAAGGTTGCCAGCTATTCTCTGTGCAGAAATCCCAAAGGGAACCCAACCTTTTGCAGGCAACATACCCTCCAGGCATTTGCCGGTTCCTAAACTACAGGTGTTAATGCGTACTGAGAAAATGAATGAGAAAGAAACTGCTGAAAGTTAAAAAGCTAAGCAGAGACTATAGCACCAAAAAATGCGGCATTCAGAGCCTGCCAAGGAAGAGGAACCTTGCTAGACCTGTCCCTGGCACACAGCCAAACTTTCAGCTGAGGACCCTAAAGAAAAAACCACCACCCTAGGAATGTGGGCAAACCAAACCCAGACCACCTCAACAGCATTACAGTGGTCTGCCCGTACACTATCGCCTGTCAGGAAAAACCTCAAATTTCCCCTGGAGGAACCGAACACAATACAGAATCCCTATAGTTTTTTAAATATACAATACTTATCATTGAATGAAAAAAAATATTTACCAGGTATATAAAGGAAGAAAAACAGATGACTGAAAACCAAGGAAAAGACAAAAGAAACAGATCTAAGGGGATTCAGCTTTCTGAGTTATCAGGCAGATGAAAATATATGAAATGATGAAAAAGTTATATCAAAGAGCCAGAATCTATGAAAATTAGTATCAGATGGAAATCCTAGAGCCAAAAAATATAGTATTAACTAAAATTAGAAATTATATATTGAATATATTTTCATATCCAGATTAAATCCCAGAGACTGAAAATTAGTAAAGACATAGGTCAAAGTAAACAAACAAACAAACAACTACTTACAAGGAGTCCCAGAAACAGAGGAAAAGAATGATGCAAATGCATTATTTGAAAGCACACCGGTGAAATTTTCCAAAAAAATGGAAAACATGAAGTAATTAATCTAGGTATTTAGCTCTATAAACACCAAGTGGGCTAAACATAGAAAAGCACTCCTAGCCCTGTTATGATATAAAATTGCTAAAACTCAAAAACAGAAACTTAAAACAGGAAAAAGACACATTCAAACAATAACACTAACACCTGACAGACGCTATAGAAGACAACAGAATGGTATGTCTAAAGTATGAAAGAAAATAACTTCCAGTCTATATAAACTTAGCAAAAATAGCCTTAAAAAAAAAAAACATAAGGACAGTAAAATAAGGGTGTTTCCAAACAAAAACAGAATTTATTGCCAGCAGGCTCACAATAAAAGAATTAACAAAAGAAGCTGCTTATGCTGAGGGAAAATAATCCCAGATGGAAATTTGGAAATGCAGGATGTAATAAAAGGCACTGAAAAAGGTAACTATGTATATAACTACTGTACAAACAACGAAAATGTTTCAGAGTTTAAGCAGCTGTAGAATTAAGTACATGACAACACGGGCGGGGGCGGGGGGGCGGGTGTGTGTGTGTGTGTGTGTGTGTGTGTGTGTGTTCAAGATGTTAGAAGGTTCTGTATTATCCAGTAAGTTCTAAAAGCACTAATCGGAAGTATACCTGAATAAGAAAAAAACTGCATGTTTTCTCTAGGTTAACCACTTCTGTATAATTAATTAGCTGGTGGAGAAGTAGAATAAAAAAATAAATAAAAAGATCAACCCAAAAGATGGCAAGACAGAAGAAAAGAGAAACAGAGTAAGACAAAATAGTCATGTGGTAGACTGAGATACAAATATAACAGTAATCATATTAAAAGTTCACAGATTAACTATTCCAACTAAAAGACAGAAACCGTCAGGCTGCATTTAAAATATCTAACTATATTCTACTAACAAGAAGAAGTATACCTGAAGTGGGAAGAAAAAAATTCACCATATGCAAACTCTAAACAAAATGAGATGTCATAGCTATACTAATATTTGACAAAGTTGACTTTAATGCAAAAAGTTTAACTAAAATACAAAGGAACACACTGCATAATTATAAAAGGTTTACTCAGCCAAGAAGATATAATAACCCTAAATTTGTTTGCACCTAATATACAGCAAATACAGCATGAAAGGGAAACAATGCACAATTCCATCACACTGAGAGGTCTGACACAAGTACCCCAGTAACGGATAAAGCCAAGTACCGTCATGCACCACCGGACGATGCTCCAGTCAATGACGGACCACATTCACGACGATGGCCACATAATGGAGCTGAAAAACTCCTGCTGTCTAGTGACATCATAGTTGTCAAAATGTCACAGTGCAATACACTCACACTACTCATGTTTGTGGTGATGCTGGTACAACAAAACTATGTTTCCAGTTATATAAAAGCACATGAAATTATGCACAGTATATAATCCTTGATGATAAATGACTGTTACTGGTTTGTGTATTAACTATCCTATAGTTTTTACTGTTATTTTTTAGAGTGTACCGTTTCAACTCATAAAAAAGGTGTGCTGTAGAACAGTAGCTGTTTACCCCAACAATGTGATACATTACGTGTTTTTTAAACTTTTTACAACTTTGAGATATGTAATTCACATCTCATATAATTTACCATTTTAAAGTATACAATTCAGTAGCTTTTAGTATATGCATGGAGTTGTGTATCCACTACCACAATCAAGTATTTCATTATCTGAAGACTCTTCCCCACCTCTTAATGGCCATTCCCGCAAACCTCAGCCCTATGTGACCACTGATCTACACTCTATGTCTATAGATTTGCTTATCCTGGGCATTCCATATAAATGGAATCATACAACACACGGTCCTCTGTGACTGGCTTCTTTTACTTAACATTTTCAAGGTTAATCCACGTTATAGCATGTATCAATACTTCAATCTTTTTATTGCCAAACTATATTCCATTGGATGGATACATCACATACCACGTCTCTTGATTGCATCATTTTCTTCTGTGTTTGATTGAATCTCATGTTTATAAATGTAGTGTAGGCTAAGTGTAGTGCTTATAAAGTCTACAGTAGAGTAATGGCCTGGGCTATCACAGTCCCTTACCACTGACTCACCCAGAACAACTTCCAGGCCTACAAGCTCCATTCGTGGTTAAGTACCCTTTACAGGTATCTTTTCTATGTTTAGATACGTTGATTTTTTTAGATTTTATTATTTTTAGACAGAGGGGAAGGGAGGGAGAAAGAAAGGGAGTAACATCAATGTGTGGTTGCCTCTTGCGTGCCCCCTACTGAGGACCTGGCTGCAACCCAGGTATGCGCCCTGACTGGGAATCTAACTGGCGACCCTTTGGTTTGCAGGTCAGCGCTCAGTCCACTGAGCCACACAAGCCAGGGCTAGATATGTTTAAATACACAAATCCTTACTACTGTGTTACAGTTGCCTATAGTGTTCGGTACAGTAACATGCTGTACAGGCTGGTAGCCTGGGAGCAATAGGTTATACCATTTAGCTCAGGTGTGTAGTGGCCTGTACCATCTAGGTTTGTGTAGGTGCCCTCTATGATGTTCGCACAACAATGAAATCGCCTAACACTGCATTTCTCAGAACATATGCCCATTTTAAGTGGTGCATGACATAAAACAAGCGAGTCAGTGAGGATGTAAAACATCTGAACAACTTGATGAATACATTTGGTCTATTTGACATGTATACCGCCCAGTGTCTCACAAACGCAAAATCCTCTATTTCATACCACACCTAAAATCAATTCCAGATGGAGCACAATTCTAAAAATAAAAAGTAAAACAATAAAGCTTTTAGGAAATAACACAAAATACCTTCATGATCTTAAGTTAGGCAAAGATTTATTAAAAGAAAACGAGCAGTAAGCATAAAATCAGATTCCTAAATCAAACTTCATTGAAACAAAGACTTTGTTTTCATCACAAGACACCATCAGAGTGAAAAGGCAAGCCACGGTGTAAGAAAAGATTTGAAATTCATATACCCAACAATGAACTCATATCTAAAATATTTAAAGAGTTCTACAATAAGAGATAAACAACCCAATGAAATTTTTGCAAAAGCCTTGAAAAGCATACTTTATAACATAAGACTTTGAAGGGTCCAATACAGGTACTTAACATCATCCATTATTAGGCAAATGCAAATTAAACCACAGTGAGATGCTATTACATTCCACCAGAATGTCAAATTTTTAAAACTGACAATATCAAGTATAAACATAAAAAACAATGGAAATCTTATACACTGTTGCTGGGAACATATAATTTAATTGGTGTAATCACTTTCAAAAACTGTTCAGCATTATTTACTAAAGCTAATATGCACACCTTGTGACTCACAATTCTACCAAATTCACACCTAATAGAAAAGTGTATATTTCTACACCAAAACACAGGAACAGGAATGTTCATAGCAACATTATTCTTAATAGCCCCAAAGTGAAACAGCCCCAACAATCCAAATGTCACCAACAGTACAAGAGGTAAATAAATTGTGGAATATTCATAAAATAGTATTACTGTACAGCAATGAAAAAAAGTGACCACTACACGCAACAACATGGATGAAATCTCAGATATAACATTCAGCTAAAGAAGCCAGACATAGAGTTTTATACTTTTAACATTTATATAAAGTTCAAAAACAGGTAAAACCAATGTATGATGACAGAAATCAAAAGACTGGTTACCTTAAGGGAAATGACTAGAGGGATACAAGAGGGAGACTTCTAGGGCACTGATAATATTCTCTACTTTGATCTGTGTGATACAGGGGATGTTCACTTTGTAAAAGGTTCTGCACATTATATGTATTTACGTATATTTTACTTTAAAAAAAAAGTGAAGGGAAGGAGGCAGGAGGAAAAGAGAGAAAGGGGAAGTGGGGAATGGAAGAGAGGTGGGAAGGTGAGCGGGGGGGGGGGGGCGGGGGGGGAAGGAAGGCTGACCATATCCCATGGGCAATGAATGGTTACTGACGGTTTTTGAGCAAGGAAATGATGCAGTGTTTTATGAAAGCATTTTCTTGGCTGTGCAGGATTTCTAGGGAAGTATAATACTGGAAGAGAACAAACTAGCAGACTATGCAACAATCCTGGCATCCAAGTCATGTGATGACTATTTATCAGCACAGTACAGTAATGTCCTAGGCTTTCACATTCACTTACCACTGATACTTGAGATGTGGATAATACTTGTGCTATTGCAATAGAGTGGGGGAGGAAGCACACAGACAATCTAAAGAAAAATTTGACAGTTCTTGCTGGCTGGACCTGGGCTAGACAGAAAAGTGAAAAGAGGAAAGAGTCAAAGTTTACTGTGCGGCTTCAAGTCTGGGTAACAGAAAATTGGCATTAAGGACAAAAGTGCCAATGACTTGTCCTGGCCAGGGAGCTCAGTTGGACAGAGATCATCCCAATACGCCAACGTTGCAGGTTCATTCCCCAGTCAAGGCACATACAAGAACCAACAAATGAAACCATAAGTGGAACAACAAATCAATGTTTCTCTCTCTCAAATCAATCAATAAAAACATTTTTTTTTTAAAGTGCCAATGATTCAAGTCAGACTGAGATTGAGGTAACATGTTCATGTCTGAGGGCAGGTTAAGAGGCTGTTTATTACGAAGAATTTGCCTGGGCCGTCAATTGTTAGTTGATATTGATATTAGCTGAGACTGTACAGGTCTGATGAGCGATCAAGGACTGAAATCGACCCATTAAGATCACAGGTTCTACACGTTGGCGAGTTCCCAGATCATACCCCTCACACCCTAGAAAAGCCTGCCAACAATCATCCTTCTACTCACTCTGGCTCGGCGTTGTTTCACTTCAGCCCTCAGTTTGTCTCTCAGGCTTCTCAGTTGATGAATTTTGCTTCCAAGAGCACTGTCCGCCGCCTGTGCTCCCTGTGGTTCTTCCCATTTTTTACGGGATCTAGCTTCTAGTCTTTCCAAATGAGCTAGAACACCTGAAGAAAGTAAAAAGAATTTCCCAAGAAGACAAGGATTTCTAACTCTGGCTGCAGAAAGCATTTCAGGGCCCTAATTTATAAAACCCAAAGAACTGACAACAGAAATCAAAGATCAGCAACCTCTTAGCCTGTACACTGATGTACAAGCAGTCCCTAACCAGGACAACGTCCAAAAAGAGCATTATCTGAATATAGCTAATCTCAGTTATCCATGATAATAACCCAGAGGAAAACATAGTCACCGAATTCACCGGCTCTCTCAGAAACTGTTTATTAAAATGTAGAATTGTCTTTTATGCATGTTTTACTAACGTGCTAATGCATAATTCTTTGAGGCTCTGAAAAATACTAGTACAGGACTATAATGACACAAACTAAAGGGAACTGTCTACAAATATTACTGGGTTATTAGATGGGAAAACAAGCTCACCACTGGAAACTCAGGTGAATTTCTATTTCCTAGGGATTGACTAAGGAACAATATAGGTGCACCTCATTCTATTGTGCTTCACAGATGTTGCATTTTTTTTCTTAAACAAATTGAAGGCAACACCCCCAACCGGGAAGAAAATTATACCTCATTCTATTGCAGTGGTCTGGACCTGAACTCTCAATATCTCTGAGGGATGTCTGTACAGTCAGGGTTGTATCTTCGTAAGGCTAATAGACTCTTAATAAAGCATTTGCTGAACACTTCCTATATTTTAACACACTTGTGCTACATGATTTACTCGCATAGCACGTAAAGAATTAAAAGCATTAATGGAATATTTCCTATACAAAAGGTGTATGTTAACTGTGTTAGTTGAGAAACATGAAAAAAGTTGCTTATCTAATTTCCACCACGACCATCACAATGCTATTATCCACCTCAGTTTTCCAGGTGAAAAAAGAACTGGCGCAGAGAAAGATAAAATAACTTGCCCAAGGCCGCAATATTTACAACGGCAGAGCCAGGACTCAACCCCAGATCTAACCAACGCCAAAGCCACGGACTGGCACTTTCACAGGAGTAATGCATAAATGGCCTCCGCCAAAATCCTGGGAAGAAAGTCCTCACTGGCTAGAATTGCAGCTCTAAAAGAAACACTGAGCATATTATGAAAGCAAACTATCGCTTTAAAAAGGGGCCGGAGCCTAGAAACATGTGAAGTAATTTCCCCCCGTCTGCTGCTCCTCGCTACGTGTCCCGTTAAGGTCTTCAATCCAGGCGCGCCTCCAGGTGCTGCGGGTTCCGTTCCCGACCGCCGCAATCAGGCGAGTCCGAACTTTTCGCAGGTGGATGCTTTTGCCTTCAATTTATAAAACCCGCAACACCTGTGAGGCGCAAAGCGGGCATGCCCGTATTAGCTCCCTTCACTATTCTGCTCCCAAACAGGACAGGTCGCACAACAATTCGAGGAGGAAAGGGCCCTCTCAATCTGGCGGTCACCTCCGGGCAGCAGTAGCAAGGGTGGGTAAAGACAACCATGTAAATACCTCCTTTGGCCTCGCCCTCCTGACTTGAAGAATACTCCAGGCTCATCTCCTCCTCAGATTCCCAAGAGCCTTCCCAGGAAGCTGCGTTGGCACCGAGATTTCCTTGCTGGCAAAAGCAAAAATGGCAAGGAAGTCACATTTAGACAAGCCCGGGCGGTAGGGCACACAGAACTCAACACCCCAAGGGACACTGCCAAGACCGCCTTACCTGACCCGCCCTTTCCCCGGCAGTGTCCACGTCCCCCTCGCCGGCCCTGCTCGCTGCTCGGGTCACGGCTCCTCCAGTTCGGCCGAGCTGCCTTCCAAAGGGAAGGAGCTGGAAGAGTCTGTTCTGCCTTTCACCCCGGTCACCGCCCCGTCCCCCACTGGATCTTCTTTCCCCCTGCCTCCTCCCTTCTGGCTCACCCAGTGCAGGGACGAGAGTTCCCGCGGTTCTCTCCTTCAAAACCAAGACAATCGGACCCAGCATGCTTTGCGCACCCACCGTACAAAAACATGGCAGCGCTCAGGGCCCCTCCCTGATCCCGGCATGCACCGGGGAATAGGCCAGGTCTTAGCTCTGGGCAGGAAGATGGCGGCATCTGGATCAGAGCCGCAGATCTTGGTACAATACTTGGTTTTACGAAAGGATCTATCGCAGGCTCCGTTCTCCTGGCCAACGGGCGCATTAGTAGCGCAGGCTTGTCACGCAGCCACAGCGGCTTTGCACATTCACCGTGACCACCCCAACACTGTTGCTTATCTCCGGGAGCTGGGGCGCATGCGCAAGGTGGTTCTAGAGGTAAGGAACTGGGCCGAGGGGGTGGGGCGCTGAGGACGTCGAGAACGGAAATGGGTGTGGTCTTGGGTCCGAGGGCCTAACTTCGTGGCGTTACTGGGGAGGAGTCTTTTTTTTTTTTTTTTTTTTTTTTTTTGCGGGGCCAGGGGTAAAGGAGGAGGAGTCTTTAGCATGTAAGTTTTGGAACCGGTTCTGGGGGCACTTGAGCTACTGCCCAGAGCAAGCCTTCCCTTGGCTGAGTAGGGGCCTGGCTGTGAAGAGTGGACATCGGATTCGTTTTTACTGCTTCCCGCCACCCTTCGGTCTCACCTGCGTCCCTCTTAGTAGATACCTGTGAGGGAGGAGGCCGACGGAACGAAACCCCGCCTTTTTACCTTTGCACTGGGCCGGCCTTTTAATGCCCCACGGAGAGTATTGTTCCTGTCCGTTCCCGGCAAAACCGACCCGGGATAAGGACACGGGATTCCTTACTGCCAGTGAAGTCAAACTGAAGCACTTACCTCGGCACGACGCCAAATTATTTGAAAATAAATGTGAATCCTAGATGAAATTGAACCTAACATCACAAACACCAGGGGTGTGAAATAGCCATAAAGTCTTTTTTGCAGATGGCCAAACAGATCTTACCCTTACTCTTTGTAATTTCTGCTCTAGAAATGTCTCCTAAGATAATTAGATGCGCTCAAAGACCATTGTGCAAGGATAGTCATATGAGCACTTTATAACAGTAAAAAAAAAAGAAATAACCAAATTTCCAATACTAGGGATTGGTTAATCTATGTCCTTATAATGGATTATGAACCTAGGGTAAATCATATTTTTGGAGCATATTTAGTTGGATGGAACAGTGCTCATGATATGCTAATTAACTATATTCTATATACAAGATGATCCAAATTTTGAAAGGAAAAACTAAGGAAATACATCCAAATATTAAGTAGTGAGTGGTGGGATTTTGGTTATTTCCCAGTGCTTTTATATTTTTTTCATTTTCTACATTAAGCCCATACTTTATAATGAGAAAAAAATGCATTTATTTTCAAGCTTTTTTCCCTTATAAAATGTGTTTATTTTAATAAATAAGCAAACCAGGGCCCTGGGGTAGAGGGATGGGCTAATAATCCCCTTATGGCTAGGTGGCAAAAGCAGATCATCTGGTGAGACAAAAATTGCTCTTGGGTAGTGAAACATCAAACAGGAACCTGTAGTAAAATGTCTTGAGAATCTATAAATAGGCAGAAAAGAAGCAGATAGCTTTCATTTAGATTCTTTTTTATAGGAAGAGGGCCTCAAGACATCACCTGGCTCAGACATCCCCCTCTCCCTCTCGTTCAGGCAGATAATATGCTTTCTTTTTCTCCTCAGGTGAGACATGTGATGCCCACAGATTATCCCCTGTGTTTAAAAGACACCTGAGGATTCCTAGTTGTTCGCCATAACCCAAGAAAGGGACGTAGGAATCATTTAATTGATTAAATTAAGGTGCTGCCATAGCTGTAAAGACCAACAAAAATATAATGCCAAGATTACTGTGTGCCAGGCACAAATCTGAGCTTAATTTCATTGAATCCTTAGTAGTACCAGTAAGCATTATCATCTGTTTCATGAAGGGGAAGCAAATACCTTGTAAAAGATCACACCATCTGTGGCTGGTAGGGCAGGATTTGGACTCACCCGTCCCGTGATGCTGCCTGGTGCTGTGCTGGCAGGGAGGGGAAACCATGAGCTCTCCTGGAGCTCACCTCCCCTGAAGGATTCAGTAGATTTACTGCTCAATCTCTACATCCTCTAATTTGACAAAACCAACCTGGAGTTATCATAGCAACTTATGCCTTTATAGGGACAAAAATATGCAGTATGCAACATAACATACTACTTTATTTTCCGAATGATAGTTTTAATACTAACTGTAATAGGCTTCAGCATGGGTGGTAAGGGTGATAAGGATGGTGAGGAAAAACAATTCCAAAGGATGTTAAGGAATAGTTTGCCCTCTCTCGAGTTAACTCGTGGGAACTATCCCAGAAGGGAATCCTAGGTTTGGGTGGGGTAGGAGGGAGGTGGAGGCGGTGTGATTTCAGAAATCCATCTGGTAATAGTCAGCTCAAAGTCAGAGCTGGCTGAATGATTAAGGATAGCAATTTGGGCACCAGCCATCAGAGAACTAGAAAATGTATAAAGCAAATTACTGACAAGGCATACAGCATCTCAAGAAAAGTCTCCATTTTATCAACAGGAATAGTAAGCATCTCCCCTCCTCCCCCTCTGCCCCTAACCCCAGCCCCTGGGCAGCTTATCTGAAGTCCTACAGAGAGCACGGAAAATGGAGCAATGAAGCTGCTGCTCCTGGAGATATGTTCTACAGCTCCTTTGGGAGTGCTGGTCCTCCGCTGTCAGTGAAGAAAAAAACCCCTTCCCCATACTTCCTGTTCCTTGGCTTGACACTTCCTAAATGGGCTGTTCAATCTGTGCTCTGTAATCTGCTTCTTGTAGGCCCCCGATGAGACCACCCTAAAGGAGCTGGCTGAGACCCTGCAACAGAAAAACATTGACCACATGCTGTGGCTGGAGCAGCCAGAGGACATCGCCACTTGCATTGCACTCCGTCCCTACCCCAAAGAAGAAGTGAACCAGTATTTGAAGAAGTTCCGATTGTTCAAATGACTCATATCATGAATTGCTTTGATACATCTGATATCAGCTGGATCCAGAAACTGTATGCCATCCATCCCTATGCAGCATATACTCATGTCAGTGGCGACTCACTCTTTAAGTTATGAGTTTCTTGAGAGTCAAACACATGTTCACATTAAAGTTGTGACTAATAAGTACTTCTTCTTTTAAAAAATTCTCACCACATGCTTACTGATTTTAGAGAGAGAGGCGATGGGAGGGAGAGAGGAGATGGAGAGAAACATCTGCATGAGAGAGAAACATCGATCGGTTGCCTATCATGTGTGTCCCAACCTGGGACTGAACCCTCAAACCTGTAAAGTGCGCTGACTGGGAATCGAATCAGCCACCTTTAGATTCACAGGACAATGCTCCAACCAGCTGACCCAGATGAGGAAAGCAGGTGAGCAGCAATAATGTTTATGGGCTATTGCTCAAACAGAACATTTGGTTAGACTCTTGTACAGGGGTCAACGAGATGCCTTTCCATTTTTGTTAGGAATAGAATTCTTCCAATAATCCAGTTTTAAAACTTTGCCTTTGAATTCCTTATTTCTTATTCACATCCAGTTACTGTAGAATCTAAGACATCAGCTCTAACATATACCATTATTTTATGTGTTAAGAAAGAAGTACTGCCAATGAAAGATATGCAGTTAACCAAAAGATGTATTTTAATTTCAAATATATTAAAATATACTACTTCTTAGAGTTGATGACATTGGTCAAGTACTACATCTGCTTTTTTGTAGTTGCTGGTGCTACCACCCTGTGTTAGGCTCTCACTTTGCTCATCAGTGTGTCCCACTGGCCTGCTCACTTCTAATGTGTCCAGCAAATGTTCTGCCTCTAGGTTATATACACTAGGTTATATGGGGTCACTGAGTACATAGTTCAGTATAGGCTCCAACTTGCCCATGGCATAAAATCAGAACTCTTTAGCTTAGCCTTCAGGCCCTCCACATGTATTTTCCTACCTACCTTTTTAGATGAATCTTCTATTCCCTCATCCAAACTTGTGTTTCAACAAAGACTCCGGTTGCTGCCCTGTAGTCTCTGGTCTGGGAGTTGAATGTTCATACTCTTCTCTCCCTATCCTGCCTCTGGACTTGACTTAAACTATTTCTGACTCAAATGCTATACCTTCACAAGTCTTACACAGCCAAAAATGATAGTTATCTTCTCTGAACACCTATAACACTGTATAACATTTAAAATATTTCTATAAACATTTGGAAACATCGACTGAAATTGCATGGACATCTGAGAAGCCAGGTTTATGAAGCGCAGTTCGTTCAGCAGCCGTGTAGCACGTCTATGTGACAGGCTACAGTGAGAGCTAAGGACATAGATGAAAGCTTTTACTCTCAGGTAGCTCAGGATCTAGTGAGGAGACAGAAGTAAAAATAACAGAAATGTGCAAGGTAATAATGGGTTTACTTTCCTCCCCACAGCCCCTAGATACCAAGACTGCTAAGATACTAGATAGATGCGGTGATTTTCCTTGATAAGAGAGGGTCACTTCAAACTAGGAGAGTGGATAGAAGAGTTAACAGCATACTGAGGGCAGAACCAACCTCCCCCCACAGCCCGCAAGGAAGACACGTGGACAGTTTCAAGGAGGAGAGAGCAGTCAAGTGCAGCATAGAATTTCAGTAAATAACTGAAAACATTCAGCAATCGGGAACAAATGGGTTAACTTCGTGAAAGTAGTTTAAATAGCGTATGAGGGTGGGAATCAGACTGGAGACTATTGAGGCAACAATGGGAAGAGAGGTAAGAGGTCAGGACTATTCTTTCAAGCTTGAATGGAAGGAAGGGATAATGATTGAAGGGGCGCTGGGAAGATGGATGCCGAGTCCCACAGAGGGAATTTTCTTAGATACTTGAGCAAGTTGATGGGTGAGAAGAAGGGTAAGGAGAGAGACCAAAGTTAGTAAATAGAATAACTGATAAAAGAAGCCCAGAAAAACATGGGAAGAGGTGGGGTCATGGGCATAGGGAAGGACTGGTCTTATATAGAGAAAGAGAGAGAAACTTTCATTTTTGAGACTGGAGAAAAGGAAGTGGAGGAAGGTATGGATATATATGTTTATAAATTAGAGGAAGAAAGTTGAAGTTGACCGTACCCGTTGACCTAATATTATTCTATGAGGTAGGAAGCATATAGCCTTTTATAACACCGAACAAACTTACTGAGCACTGTATTACAATAGCACAGTGGTTGAGAGTTCAGACTAGTTGGTGTCAAATGGCCTGAGTCCAAATATTGGCTCTCGTACATGCAAGCTGTGTGAACTTGGGCAAGGCACTCAACCTCCCTGAGCTCCAGTACCTTCATTTGTAAAGCAGGGATTTATGGGGGTGCTATGTGGACTAAATGTGTTAGTTGGTACAAATCCCTTAGGACAGTGCCTGGGCATTTGGTGCCAGAACCTAAGCATAAAAATATATTTTAAGACACAGCCCTCAAAGAGCTGCCTTCAAAGAGCTTTGGGCCAAGTCAGCCAGTTGTCTGATTCCTTTTCTGCTAAGGAGTGATCCCATCCAAGGAACCTCAAGCACTCCTGCCATTTCCATTCAAGACAATTAGGAAAATGTTTCCAAATGACACTGCGTCTAAAAATAAGTTTTAAAATAATTCTGAATTCTGCAGGAAGACATAATGATAAAGCCAGAGAGGGAGAAAGAAATCTACACAACTGGGAATTAACCATTCAGGCAAATCCCTAAAGCAGGGATCTGAGCACAAAAGCTTAAAACAGGGAAAGGATAGGCACTCGTTCTGACCCAGAGAGCAAGACAGTAGCAGGGAAGTTGCAAATTTTTTTACTAGCATCAGCTAAGACCGTTATCATTTGAACTATATTGGCGCTTTTCAAAGCGTGGCCCCTAGATCAGCATCACTAGGGTACTTGTTAGAAATGAAGTACAAATTCTCCACTGAATCAAACACTCTGGTATTATCTAGAAGCAGCCTGGTCCCAGGAGGCAGCCAACCTAAAAGGTGAACAATAAATGTGTGATTTAGAATCAACACATTATGATAGTGTGTAATGCGCTTACAAAAAGAAGTCAAGATGGAGAGCAAGAATCTGGCACCAACTACATATACTATATCTGGTGTTGCACACCAAGTTAACCAACAAACAAAAAAATTCTTCAATAGAGCAATAATTGTGCTGCAAGCCCTAGAATAAATCTTTGACAAGAATCTCTTGTGCTTTATAAGTTTCTTATATGTAAAAATGTTTTATAATGAACAAAGTGTGTCCATATGTGCTTGTCAAGCCTGACAATTTGATGTTGCAGGCAGTCTTGTCTCAAGTTTAGATTCAGAAAGGCTTTGACTTGCCCAAGATCAAAATCAGTGGAAAGACCAGGATTGAAAACCAGGTTTTCTGTCCATCTAGTTTTATCTTAACCTCTGATGGTGGGTTACCTATTTGCTTTTCAGCCATCTAAATACAAGAGGGGGGTTGTTGAAGCACTGGGAAGCTGTCTTCCATTTTTATATTCGTTAATTGACATTCTGGATTATAAATCAGCCTCCTGTGGCTGTGAGTTGTATGACTCAATACCCTAGGGCCCAATTATCACTGGAGGAGCTGACAAAATTGAGTTTCTGAACTTGTAAAGCTGAGAATCAGTGTCTAGGTCATTGTTTCTCATGGGGATGACAGAATGCAGAGGGTTCCCCTAGAGGTGCATGTTACAGGCACAATTTAGTGTTGTTCAATCAACATACATCTTCCCTGCAGATTCTGAGATGCCATCCTTGGGGCGTGTTCTGTGCTTCCTGGTTGAGAATCTTGGCAAGAGTGAATGACTGTTATTGGCGGAAAGGTGTTAGTGCGGAAAAATGGCTGAGAACCACGGCCTGTGGCTACTGTTACCTCACAAGTTTTAGCTGTCCTATGTGGTCAAGCTTAGCACAGAAGAGGGGACTAATCTAAGTATGGGGACACGTAAAGACTTCTTCGAAAGGGCATCTAAATTGAAGTCTTGAAGGATGAGCCAGAAGGAGAGAGGAACATTCCAGGCTAAGGAATGAATATGAATACGGATGTAGAAGTGAGGACACAGATAATGTTAAAAAATAAAGGCCATTTGTTTAGAGAGAATGGAAGGTTGTGATGCTTAAAATGTAGAATGATTTCAGATCAACTGTAGGCAAGAAGTAGTCATTATTAGAGTCTGAGGGTTGCGTTTAGAAAGATTTCTCTGATGACTGTGTAAAGGATGAATGTAAGCGGCATGAAAGTGGTTATTGTAATCATCCAAAAAAGATAATTAAGTCTTGAATTTGGTCTGTGATTAATAGGGTTAGGAAGGGAAAAATAGCTATGAGGCGCTTCAAAGGATAACTTTTTGCAATTTGGTGAAATGAGTGGGAGGAGGTTGTTGAAAATGACCGTCAATGAAACGATGATGTAATTAATTCAGATAAGAGACACAGGAGCTTATTTGTGGGGAAGTAAGTTATTTGGTTAGGGACTTAAATTTGAGATACTGGGGAGTAGGGATCCATCCATGTGGTAATGTTCACCAGTATGAAAATTCAAGACTGGATTTTGAGAGAGATCTTGGCAAGAAGAGTGGACTTAAGATGCATATAAATTAAGTAGTACTGAGTTCAAGGGAAAAGAAGAAAGGGAGAGTACAGGGATTCTTTTCAGAATTATTACTCTCATGTAAATTTAAAACATAAAAAAAATCAGTACTTTACCAAATCCAAGGTTAGTGTCCAGGTTACTTTCAAAATGGAAATCCTGCCAAACTTCTAAGGAACTTGAGTTCTAGAGAACAGTTTTTAACTCATCAATTTTCAGCTGAGTTAAAACTTGTCTCATGGTGCTTTTATCTCTAATAGTTGTATTGTGCAGTGGAAACAATGGCAGGTTTCATCCCAAAGCCCAAGGACTGACTCTGGGGTCCAGCACTTCCTGGCCACCTGGCCAAAAATCTGAGCTTCCGTTTCACCATCTGTAAGATAAGGCTGTGACCTACTCCAACGGCTTCCTAGGATTTTTGAAGATCAAATGACATATTGCATGTGAAAGTGCTGTACAAACTAAGAAATTATTAGCACAAGAGTATTAGCCTAGCATATTTCCTGGCAGAGTAGAAAGAAAAGTATTCCTTAACCAATATACAAACTCCACTAATTAGAAAGGAAGCAGCTTCAGCCAAGCATCTGCACTTCCCACACTGTCTGTCACAGGGCCCATACTGCAACAGCTCATCCACAAGATGGAATAAACACCAAAGCCCTGGTCTAAGGTTTTGTCTCATTCTGTACCTTAGGACCGCTGGGCATCAGAATGGGAAGAAAACCTGATGGAATAGATATTCTTTTTTTTTTTTTTTTTCCAAGCCAATGTCTCAGGTTTGCTACAGATACCTGTGGGCGTTGCTTGGTTCTGTTGGTGCACAAACTATCAAAGTTCTGAGAGAAGCACAAATGATTAGACCAGAGCCCAAATCCAGGGAGAAAAATTCTTTGTCCACAGAAGGTTCAAGAGCCAGAGAAAAGTGAATGCTTCTATGATCTGATCTAAGAAACCAAATTT